CCATTAGTAACGTCTGGCAACATGCGGATATGATTCAAGGGTCATTTTTTAGTAAGATTATGAAAAAAAAATTCGAATGAGAATCATGTTCCTAGCGGGAGCAACGATACAGCCTGGACTAATACTTATACATATTATAAAACATACCTACAATATAATATACAAAAAAATATAATAACATAATATATAGTATTAAAAATATAATCATTACAGATTTCTCCATTATTATAAGTTTATTTTTTGAATATTCCTAAAATTTTGGTTTATAGTTTATAACGTATAATAAATTCTAACCCTTAAATATAACGTAAGTACAAATTCTTTCGGAAAAGAACGACACAGATGACTAAAAGGTAGTCTTTTAATTAATTCAAGAAATGTGCTACAAATGTTATTTTTTGTGGATAATTGTTCAAAATTATCTTGAAATATCTTTTCAGTGTTACAAATGAGCTCAACAAAGTTATCTTTTGGCATTTACAATTGTCCAAATAAGGTATCTTCATTTTCATTATTATATAAAATAAAAATCAATCAACTAAATTATACCCACGCCTATGATGCAATTCTTATTACCCGTTGTCGCTACTCGCCTGAACGAACGCCAAAGCCGTCTTTTCCGCTGGAAGGCGGGGCATAAACGCTGCCCGGCGGAATCGACGCTAACCGATCCCGCCAAGACAGTTGGAGAGCTGTATGAGCTGTGGTAGGATCATATTCATGCAAAGTAATAAATTATTGCCTGTCAAGGGATCCAGTGACATTCGCTTTTAAGGGTTTTAGAAATTGAATAATTTCTTTATACATTATGTAGGGACAAAGGGATCAGTTCACGTCTGGCACCCTTGTCCCTACAAAAATTCCTTTATTCTCATAAACTATTTATTTTAAATGTAATTTATTATAAATCCAGTTTGTTTTTTAATTTCCACATATGTACTACATTTTACCTCTGTACGCGCCACTGTAGTTTACTTGTTTTTTGGAAGCGCTCTCTGTTTTACGATCAAGCTCGCCAGGTTAGTATTTGACGTATAACCGACCACTTCGTACACTCGATGCACCTGGGCGACTACAGCTAGTACGAGAACACAATCGGTATGATGCGGTATTTCGGATTTGACATTGAATTTCATTTTAAATTTGAAATGGTTCACCTTACGCCTCCTAAAAATGATGACACGATT